TACGAACCCTCTATAATGTAAGACTGTCCCAATTGTCTTTGAATCAAATCAATTAATATTTTCTGGTCAGATATTTGTTTTGATCATTATAATGCAAAACTCTTAGTTTCCTTATATGTTGCTTCCAAGGTGCCAGACATTCTCGTGATGTTGAGCAATAGTTCTCCAGACTTTACAGCTACTCTAAAGACTCTAAAACCCTTTCAAATTCTTTCTTTGGACATGAGCTGCTTTTCTCGCTGATTTTCAGTGCATTCTTGTACCTTTTCTGTTTGTTAAGTCAATTAAAACTGACCTGTGAATCATTCAATCATCCAACAGCTATCTAGGTCAAGGGACGAGGCAGTGTTACAAAAAAGACAAATTCTGTCTTTTTTCTTTAGGCACTCTGTTTTTAGCAGCCTGTCAAATAAACACATCACTTCTTCCCTATTTCTCAGTTGAATGCATGAAAAATGCCAAAGATAACACAATAGGTGATTCCCATAGAGACGAAAATGTGGCCCATCTCAGCATGATGTGCAGTGTGTCCTTAAAAAAGTTTAAGGATACTGCACAGCAGAGGACAAAAGAAGAAGTGGCAGCTACGTGGCTGCGTTGTCACAAACTTGGGTGTCCACACCAACCACGTGCCCATCCAGCGGGGTGATGACATTACCTCTCAGCCTATTATGGCTAAGAGGTATAAATCTACAGCACATGAACAGCATCTAAAGTCACATCCTCGAGAAACATGAAAACATCCAGCAAAGCTCTGCGACAGGTTGGCTCAAGATTTGATTTGCAACATCTTAAAGCTTTGATGTGCAGTTTTTAATTATGTCAATTTTCAAATATGAATTTCTGCAATTCTGCACTTGGCATGGTTCACATGGGTATGGGTAAAATCCCTACTTAAAGTAAATCTAACATCTATATACTTACAAAAGACATTTAACAAATCAGGTTTTTAGGAATATTTTCACCTCACACACACTCAAAATAAAATAGTATCATACACCATAGATGTAGGTCAACTTGTCTGGAAATCATAGTTAGGAGACTCCCCGGGCTCATCAACCAGGCATGAATAATCCATGTCCAGATTTCAATTAGCCTGCAAGCAAGACTCATCAGTGTGTGTGTGTGTGTGTGTGTGTGTGTGTGTGTGTGTGTGTGTGTGTGTGTGTGTGTGTGTGTGTGTGTGCTCCAGAAATAACTAATTTTAACACTGATGAGATGGACAAATGCTGGGCCTGAAGCCATTGCTCATTTACAGATGTCTGTGGTAAGTAAAATCCAAACAGGGCGAGGGATCCATCTGTTTAATCACCTTTCACATTTCTTTGAATTCTAAGAGAGAGCAAGAGGTTTAGTTTTACCGTTACTTGGTGCTGCTGAGCTGCGGTTCAACATTACAAAGGTCTCTGATCAAATTAGGCTAAAAATAGATCTGCTGTTGATTTGGAGATCCCGCTCACTATTCTGTGCAGCAATGAAAGTAAAGAAGCACATAGAGGTCTAATCATTATCTCTGTTCAAATCATGTCCTCTGTTTCCCTCTCATTTTCTTCTACAGGGAGTGTTAAGAATAACTTTTAAAAATCTAGCTCTCAGCCAATAACATGCTTTCCATTCAGAAGAGAGGAGAAACTCATGCGTTCACCTTCTTAATTCAAAATAAATAAATAATCAGAAATATTACCTGTGGAAATGTGTGTGATGACAGACAAACTCAAGGTATTTAAAAAATATATATTTATGGTGTTTAGTCATGCTAATAAACCCTTTATACACACACACCAATGCTGCACTGAAAAAGCCACCTTTTACAGATTTTTAGAAACACATCTTTACATAACTAGTCATGAATTTTTTATATCAAATGCATTTAAAATAGAAACCATCTCGACTGTGTAATCTGCTCAGTAACCACACAGGCCACCAGTCTAACAACACCGGAGAGAAAGCACAAGTATTTTAACAGCAATATCCTCTCATTTGGAACCAGCTGCTTAATTACATATTACGAACTTGACCCTGACAAATCTCTGCATGGGCATTGCTATACATAATCTGCAAAACAGCCATAACAGGGCAGACTGAACATAGACAGTCTATACAGTATGATTACAAAAACCCAGCAACAGAGCCTTTCATACTTCTAAGTAAGATGTGCACTGAGGTGGTTTGTTTGCACACACAAACACACAAGAGTGTGGTCATGTGTTGTCACCACTGTCAGCAGTTTTTTTTTAATAAATCACGAGCTCTGTGTAGCCAGGGTAACGTAAATAATAATACACAATACAAAGGGGCAGAGATGCACTTTGTACAGCTAAAGTCATATTATATCGAATGTATATATGTACCCGTTTCCCTGGACAAAGCTGTGATCCTGTGCAGGATACACAGATGAGTCTTGTGCCTATGGAATGCTATTATAGTTCCAGTGAGAGGGTGAAGGGGTCACTACCTAATCACTAGTGTAAATAGCCTGGGACAAACACAAATAACCAGCATGGAGTCTGCCCTTGTGTCCTGCTTTCTATCTATTGTAAACGGCACAATGCTGAGCTTTGTTTCTGGATTTGTTGGTTTGTTGGTTACTTTGAGCTCTTGTCCAGTGACTCTGTGAAATAAAACAGTTTACTTAACTTAATAATCTATCTACTGAAGGTCTAAACAACCAAAAGCATTTATTTATCCAGGTAAAGGTTTATGGTAGCATTATATGTTTAAATGCTAGATTTGTCATACTCACTGTACTTCTTATACTTGTACTCCTGTTAGAATGCCGCGGTCACTGACTGATGAAATCAAACTGCAGGTACAAGCTGCCAAACATGTGTTTCCCTTGAAAGCTGTCTGGGCGCGTGGATAAATCTGCTCTTTATTAGGACTGACCTCACACAACTTCTTGTGAAAGTGTTATAACCATAATGAGAGGTGTGACTGCTTGATAACAGCAATTATCACTACTACTACTGATCTGACTTTACATATATCACGCATCTACTAGATTTGAATAATAAACGTGTCTGTTTAAAAGTGGACTGCACTGAGTTTACCTCAAAACCCAGTAAACACATGGAAAATAAACAAGCTGGAGCAGGACTGAGGCACAGGGCTGTGTAATCAGGAGCCGGGCTGTGACTAAAGGGTGTTTTTAACCGTGAAGCCCATCTCACAACTGGCGCTCCTCATCAGACACAGCCTCTATCACGGGAGATCTGTGGGTCCAGATGAGGCAACGGGAGGCCCAGGCAGGCCCCTCCTTGCAATGCCTTTGAATCCCCAAGAGGACCTGAAAGAACTAGGTAGAAAGGATTTCTGTGCTACTTTGCTTAGCCTGTTGGTATCCAAACCCACATCTGAAATATCAATATCAGTGGTTAGCAACTAAGAAATCCTTTGCAGCGTAAACATCCAAATACTTATTAAAAGCCACGCAGGCCAACACTCACATGACCCACTCCACGACTGATCCATTATTTAGAAAGCTGCTGAAGAAACAGTTCAGAGCTTGTATTCAAAGCACATCATGTGAGCCCCTCTTTCAGACATGCACGTTTGCATCGGTCGGCTTCATGTTCAAATGTGCACCCTTGTCACTTGTCTTGTCTGTAACACTCATGACATCGACCATAACAGGTCAGACCTTGTAAAGTTTGTGTTGCTTTACACGTTAACAGACAGGCAGGGGTACGACTGCACGTCCCTAATTACAGTGCGGGTTTTGCAGCTCACAAAAAAATGCAACCACTTTGGAGAAAGTCATAAATAGCACTGAAAGAGAAACAAAAATGAACACATTTCGGTCTTTCCACCATGTTTTGGTAAGAAAACTCGTATTGCGCAATGTCATGTTCGTAGGAAATATTAGGTACACATCTCCTGCCTGGAAAAAGGCATTAGACTGAGAGCAGTACACTGTAGCTTTGGCGGTGGTGGTGGTTGGAGGGGACCAAAAAAAAACAAAAAACACTGCCACCGTTGAGAAACTGTGATAAGTCCGCTTCAGCAACCAGCATTGGGGCTGGTTCCTGCTAATGTTTCACAGTTACTGCACATCTCTTCAAGCATTACTGGTAATTTCCTTACTGCTATGGCATGCTGGTATGACTTCCTTTCCCCCCATTCACTCCCTCTCCCTCGCATTTCCTTAGAGTTTCTGCAGGGTTTCTTTGATTTTCAAGGATACACAAACAGGGACACTTAAGGCCTGGCTCGAATCGGATGGATGAAGTCACTGACCTTAAATAAATTTGTTTCAGTCAGACTGAAATACTACTGATACTCAAATGCTACATGTCTCTAACATCTGTGTTAATGTTTAGAGGCCAAAAGCAGTGTCACTTGACTTTTATCTGTGTGTGTGCGTGAGAGTGTGAATGTGCTGGTGTAAATGAAAGTTTAAACTGGTTACACATCTCCTAGTTAAAAGGGAAGTGAGTGGACACCCTGTTCAGCACCATCACCTCCCACCAGAACAGCGACCCGCACTCAAACTGCCCTGCCTTATGCCTTCTTTCACACGCAGACGCTTAACAAAAATCGTACAAGACAAAGGTCCACCTTGAAGACATCGGACTCATTCAACCTGCCCACTGTTGTTTTTCTATGGCAGTGTCATAGGAATGAAAGGTATCAGTGAAATTGTTCTTTTTTTTATCTTTTTTGAGGAAAACTATCCTCATGTTGCACCCATCCAAGCTTGGAAACATGAAATATGGCAGATTTACAAGCTAGGAGTCCAATGAAGATGAAGCCCACAGTTACCGCAGTTATTGGTATTATGGGAGGTGGGTCCTTCGCACAGACATTGCAAGGTCGCATTACCTGTTTAATCGCCTATTTCTGCAGAAGCGTGAGCATATTGGAGTAATAAATCACAATATATGAAATACTAAACGATTTGCAACACTATTATAAAATAATATCAATAATATCTTGAGGAAAACAACTTGTAGTTTCTTATTTTTATTTAAATGCCATAAAGAAGCCAGTCTGCATCTTACCATCTATATTTTCTCTGTCGCTGATGTGCTGGAGGTTGCAACCCGTGTCTTCGCGACTCAGCTCCGGCTCGGGCCGGTAGGGCTCCAGCCTGGAGTGGTTGCTTCTCCGGTGTTTGGGGCTCGACGACACGCAGCAGGAGGTTGTATTGCCCATGTTTGCGAAAGCAGCTTTCGGTTGTATTCCTCAAGCCCAACTCCACCCGGCAGGCTTTCTCCCTGCTGTTGCTGCTAGCCTTACTACAAGAGGAAAAAACGGGGCGGTAACGCGGAGACGGGACCCCGGTGCAAACGAGCTTTGCCCTGGTACAATTTGCGTTACACGCCCTTCTCTCGCGTCCACGGCACGCTTAGTTAAACAAATGGAGCCATTGGGAGCTACTAGAAAAAACAGAAAAAGAAAAAAAACGCCAAGGTTGGCTAATGAAAAAGAAAACCAGCTAAATGTCCACTTCCAAACCTCCAGGCGAGGGGAGGTGGTGCCCCTGGATAGCAGGCTTCGGTATCGCTGTCGACTCCCTCGCCCTGTAATTCCTCTCCGAGCGTGCGTTTACTCTCTGAGACACATTTTCCGAGCACTGTTACTTTATAACGATACGGATATAAGAACATGGCACTTGAGCTGGTCGGAGAGGAAGATGTTTTTGCTCTCAGCGCTACATGGTTGCTTGCCAGAGTACTGTAGACTGCTGCTGCTGCTGCTACATCCGCTGCCGTGTTGCCTTCAGGTACTACACGTACAGTCATATTTTCGACAACCAAAGTTGCTTAAGCAGTTTCGAATTAGGGGCCGTTAATGGCCAGAAAAGAAAGCATTTGTGATTATAAAGAAATTGAGGGATAAAAGTAACTCCCGAGGTAGAAGTGCGCTTTGATTTTTATTTAAAGTTGCTTTAAAAAATGTAGCTTAACATATAAATTGCAAAGACTATTACTCTTATTAAAAATTCCACGCTCCCTGCCGCTCATAAACATATCTTTTTAAAAAAACCCACTGCGCTGTGGCTGTGATGGAACAGGTTCCGGTTCAAGTGGGTAGTTACAACCGTGTAATAAATGCTCAATTATAATACCGTCTACAGGATACAACCAAGGAAACTAAGGAATGTAATACAACGTAATGACGCTACGTTTCGTTACCCCATTTTTTAACCGATATTTTTATGCAGTTGTTGGTGTATCTGTAAACTTAAAATAGAAAGCCGTTCATTTTGCTTGAAAAGGTGAATGAACTGTGCTGTTTCCCTGGTTATGACTTGTTATGGGCACAAACACAGACGCCTGTCCACACCCGTGTTTGTGTACAGTAAATTACTTGATCTTGACTAATGACTGGCAAACCCATACGGGGCTTTCCTTTGCATGTGAAAAAATCTTTGATTTTTGTAGTATTAACTGGATTTTTTTCTGGTTGGGGTTTGGGAATGCAAACAAAGTGAAGCCCTGAAGAATAATAGCCAGTTCAATCAGGACGTTTCTTCAAATGTACGACAATGTGTATTTGTAAACCGAGGCTGGAAAAATGAGAAAAAAAATCCTGTTTGCAGGATTGTATAGACTGAGATGACCAGGCATGATGCTGTAGTGCAGCCTGCTGGTACTGTACCTGCACTGCATTTTATGACAAGCTTATCTAAATTTTTAAAAACATGTATTTTGTAATTTGATCTTTTTTTCCATTTCTTTTCCCCCCTACCAGTTACCAAGATTACAGACTGTGCTGTGCTTTTTATTCTATGAATGCAGTGTGGAAGCATTCATGGCAGGATTTTGGATGATTAGTCACTTCAATAAAGCCCATGGTATGTTTTAATTAGGATGTAAGATGTACCCGCACAAAGCATTTGATCTGATAGCATAGGTCAGGTATGCAAATGCAGCATTTAAACTCAAAACAGCTGTATTATACTGTTCCCAAATAGTGGATTCTTTTCTCTCTGACGATGGAAGTGTTTAGAGACTGGACAGGAATAAGGTTTCACAATAGGCCCAGGTGCAAGGCTGGTCTCAGTGATACTGGATTCTTTCCTTTGTTGCTTTGTTACTAGGTCTCTGAGGCAGATTACACATAGGAGTGACACAAGCACTGCACAATCAAGATCCCTCATTGCTATCCACGAGTCCCTTTTTTCTCCTTCCATCCTGTAAGCTGGTTAAATATCAAGCACAGATTCTTAATATTTTCCTTTTTAGAGCAACAATTTCTCAATTTGCTAAGCATGAGAATAGCGCTACTAAAGAGAGCAGGAAAATATTTCCTTTCCGTTGGCACATCTGTGTTCCACTGGTTGTGGTTTAAGAAAATGTGCTTAAGAGCACTCTCTAATCTTCCATTCGTCCATTAAAAGTTCAGCTCTTCCACAAAATGTCTGTCACCTGCAAAAATGCAACAAAAGAGAGGAAATGACTGTGCTTTATTAGTGACAGTCCCAGTATCAAGGTGAGCCATCACCATCAGTGAAGAACGGAACGTCATGTTCCAAGCAGAAACCCAAGGCTGAGACTCAGAGTGGCAGCGTCTGCTTTAATGGAACTTTAGCTTATAAGGTCCGTGAGGCCTTTCGTCTTATCTCTCTAAGCCCAAACTAATAGCAAATGAACTCCCGTTGACTAGTTTTAAGTCATATGCACGTCTTTAACATTTACTGCATGTGAGAAGAAAGACACAGAGAGGCTGAACGAGAATTTTATTGAAGTGAAAACATTCCAAAAGGCCTTCACATGGGTTCTGACGATTCTTAACGTGCTGCAGAGGAGAAATGATACACCAAGAATCCAGCAGCTAATATGTCATTAAAAACAAATGAGCAACTGTCTCACGACTAGAGTGTTAAATTTAATCACAGATGCAAAGGGAACAAAAAAAGGAAACGACAAGTTAATGCAAATGTATCAAAAACAGATATTTTTTCTAAACATACACTCAACTCTGCTGCAATATCCCAAAAATATAGAACAATGTGCAGCAAAACCTGCCCGAATAAATAATAATGCCACTGGTTAGAGGCATCGGACCTTCTAAAATCAAACAAAATTTAAAAAACCCCCACAAACTTTGTGAAGCCCTGAAGATCACATGAACCCTGATGTTTGAAAATTTGGCTTCTGGCAGCATTTTTCTCCCTGAACAGTCCTCCAAACAAAGCCATCACAAAGACTACCAATTAATGGAGTATTTGAACAGACCCACATCATAATATTGTAAAGGAATGTAAAACGCAATGCGGTTAAGGTAACGCAAAGCCTTTGCTGACACGTTCAGGTTTAACCTCCGCTGTTGGACATTCTGATCCACATAGGGCCTACTTCCTCTAGAAGCCTGGCTCACAAATACTCACTGATATCTCCTGAAACAAGCTGCATATTTCAGCTGCTGCTGGTGCATGGATAATTCAGAGCCTGAAACACTGACATCATTGTGTAAACACATTTAATCAGCAACTACAAAGGGTGTGTGTTCGTTGGAGTGCGTGTATATGTACACAGAGTCCTCAAGATAGGCCACAGAAACAAACCGACACAGTCCACACAATCCCGATTCCCCATCACTCCACTTTGTGACGATAGATGTCTTTTAAGGCTCTAAGCTCTTCTATCAGAGTCTTATTTTGATTTTCCAGCATGGCCACGCGATTCTCAAGGCACCTGACATATTCCTTCTTCTTCCGCCGACACTCACGGGCAGCTTCCCTGGAAGCAGTGGACAACAGAGGACTCATTAAAGCTGTTAATCTGAGAACAACACATACAAAAAGCCTACCACGAAAGGTTAAGATGATTATCTTTTTGAAGGCGTTACCATTCAAAAACCTCCAGGCCAGGTCTTTTACATCACAGCCAACCAAAGGAGGATCTTACAAAGTAAACAACGATTCACTGATAAATAGCCGATCATAGTAAAATCACAGTGTAGGGAAGAAATGCAGGAAAAAAGACAACCAAGAAAAGCTGGCATTGGAAACAGCTGTTTACAGCAAGCACATAGTCAACGCACAATGTAGAGTACTCTGTTTGCTCACCGGCAAATCACTATTATCCACATAAACGCGTATACGTATATATGCGCACAAAATTTGACATTTTAACCTCCATGTGAGACAACTCACTCCACACACCAAACACAGGACGCAGAGAAGGTAACGTGAGGACAAATAAGAATTAGAAGATAAAGAGTGTGGATGAAGGGGAATTATGTGGTGAACTAATGACGTGCTATAAAACTTATTATTACATGGACATGTCGTGTATTATCATGCAGATGATTGTATATTATATAACAGACACAGCAGGAATGAGAGAAGATATATTCCCCAAGGATATACTTTGAATCTATCCAGCTGACACTGGATTATTTAAATTGTTGTTGTTACTGTGTTGGCACGAATGCCTTATTATCTGGGTTATATTGTCCAAGAGAATGAATGTAAGCACTCCTCTATACCTGTTCTTCATCAAGCGCAGCTCCCTCTTCTGTAAGGCATCCTCTATAAGTTTCTGGGAGCTGTGAGCACTGGGCCCTGCGACACCCTGAGGGAGGCTGGAGGTGGGGTTACGCAGCTGGCAGCCAGTCAGGTCACCAGGGGTACCTAGGGAGACGCAAAACAACACATCAGACTCAGAGCTTTGGTCATACGTTTTAGGCTAATAGTTTACATCCTTAATAGACAGAATGTTTATTAATGAAACTGTATTTTGCAGTTTTTCATGTAAAATAAAAGTTCAGTATGACACTTGATTGAGTAGCTTTGCAGAACCACTTTTAGCAGCAAGAACTTTAAGTAATCATTGCCTGACTTTATCTGCCTGTTACATCATTTGATTAGCAGCAGCTTACTGCTACTTACCCTCTTAATTCCTATGGACACAGTAAGGCTGTACTCATGAAAGATGACATTTACTGATGGCAGGAATCAGCTGTTATGTAAATTTTTCGCTTGCTTAAATTATTAAATCAAAAGCCGGAAGACTTTTGTTGCAGTTGGTTGAGTAGCTACAGTTGCTATCACAGCTACTGGAGTTAGAGATCCAGTAACAAGCAACATCTTTAACTCTTTTCCCCATAAAGACAGCATTTCACGACCTGTACCCTTAGTGATGAGTTTTGACACCTCAGTATATGTCAATAAAGACCAGCAGGCATTCAAAGGGGTAAAGAGTTAAAACTGGTAGTGTGAAAAGTGTTTTGTGGAACAGCCACTTTCAAACCCAAAATCATAATCTAATTTTCACATTTTTATTCAACATCAACATGCTATTTATTTATTTTAGATCGACAAAAATAAAGCACAGCGTGAATAATCCTGGAACGCATTGTAACTGCAAGTTCCCATTAAACAGAATTCAGATTTTAAATGGTTTTATCACACGCTCACCCAGTATGTTGCTTAACGCTATAATAAGAAACAGAAATAATTAGAGCATGAGTGACTCGGTTGTATGTATTCTGACAAAATCTTATCGAATCAAGCCAGCGTGTGATGCTGCGAGAGAAACAGACACTGAGAGACGGTGCCATTCCTGTCCACTTCTCCTTCTGTTCATTGTTTGGTCAGCACCAGTAGGACTCATTAATTCTCTGACATGTTGGAACTGCGAAAAGAGCCGTATGTAATCACAGTGTGGCCAGCAGCTGACGTCAGTGTGCATCTTATTCATTGGGTGCATGTGCATGTCGCTGCAGGGGGGCCTGTTCCCGGAAGAGCAGTGACGTCAGCCAGTGCTGCTATGTGCTCTGAGTGGGCAGAGCGCTGAAGCATTTCACAAAGAGAGAGAGAGGCAGAGAAACAGAGAGACACAGGCAGATCCTGTGAAAATGTTTCCTCCGGAGCAATCTTGATGCAGCTGACCGTGGAAAACGAGGATAGTCTCTATTTCTTTCAGATCATCTGGTACTTTTCTCAGAGGACCCTACTTGTGACGTTATTTTGAGGAAGTTACTGATCTTAACTGAGCTGGTTTGGGGAAAAACTGACTGAAAACATATAAAGAAGAAAAAAGCAAGCATCACAATAATCTTTTTTTTTCAGTCTAAAAGCTTCTAACTTATTTTAACTGTGAATTTTCCCACTCACCATAAACTCACGAATCTCACTAACTCTTAAAGAGACAGTCCAACAAAACAACAATCTGAAAACGCACTCTCACAAAGATCCGGTAATAAAAGAGACATACCTGTTTCTGTCTCATCCCCAGTCACAGCCATACTGTATATGCTCCCAGCTTTTCCAAGAGAAACTGCCCCTTTCAGAGTCTTCTCTCTCACTGAAACATTACCACGGCCAACAGTGGAGCTGTGTGTGTGCAATTTACAATTAGAGGCATTGACATCACCATGACATCACTGGCCTCCTGATGTCAACAGTATGGTTTGCTCTCCCCCGACACAGCGCTATGAGTCAGGGGCTCTGCTGTTTGTCTTTGGAGAGGAATTTTTTATCAGCTAGACTGAAGCGCCTCTTTAGCTCGGAAGCAAACAGCCAGCTGAAAGCACAAAGTATGACTGCAATACTGAAAACCTGCTTTCTCAAAGCAGAACAAAAAGTCACCAGTGTGTGATAGGAACTCTTATTTTATGTCAAATATTCACATTTGTACTTTTATTCAAATTAGATCTATACAGTAAATAGACAGGCTAATGATATCGATAAAGTTATCGATTGAACAAATATAAATAGCTCTCGTCCTTCTGCCACAGCACCTTCCACACTCCAAGCTAAAGGAGTGGGCTCCCCCTGCAGGCATCACAGAGGTATGATCTAAGTAATTGGAATGATGTAAAAGCTTGATGACGTCTGTACGTGTGCATTTCTCCCAAATTTCAGTTACTTTCTCAGTCATTTGAGTTGGCGGGAAGTTACTGGTAGAGGAAGCACTTAGATCCTTGACTTAAGTTGAATTTGCAACCTCACTGTAAAAACACACAGTGAGAGAAGTGAAAGCTAAAGTGTTAAGTATTCAAATGGACTTTTACACTGTCCAACTTTGGATCATTATGTGATTAACACATACTGAGATGTACATAAACATGCTTCGGCTCGAGGTGGAGTTCGTTCTTTCTTTTTATGCTCTTTTGGAAATGCATCATATTTCAAGATCATCGCAAATTTTGCAGGGTGGTAAGTCATCAGTAGCGCGGAGAATAAAGAGTGAATAGAGAATCGGAGAAACAGGCTGAAAATTTGAATACTGTATAAGTTGGTATGGAGGCCAAATATAGACTATGAATAATGAAACCTATCTGCTGGACTTTGAATCTCATCTATCTTTCAGATGATTTAAGATAAAAATGTAAATATAAAGACACTGATCTATCTGATTTTCTCTTATTGGTGTTGTTCCTGCATCATCATAATAATGCTGGCCCAGTATCAACATGGAAACTGACCAATCACATTGCTGTGTGATAGCTTTGGAATGCGGTGGAAAATGGAAAAAAAGCTTTTGCTTATATAAAACTCTCTTCTGAAACAAATGGTAAGGATTTCAAGTGTTTTCTTTATTGAACATAATAATAGTGCAATATCAAATTCAGTTTTCTGCTAGTCAAATTTGGTCAATTGTGTTGGTTTGCTTGTGATAGTTTTTATAGCATTAGCTAACTTCTTGGCTTATGCTAACTGAATACTCAGACAACCTGATTGGTCAGTTGATGGACTGGCGAGGCGTCTGCAGTAGTGCGGATGCTCTACCTGTGGTGAAAAGAGAGCTAAGCATGAAAGCAAAGCTGTCGATATACAGGTTGGTCTACATTCCAACCCTTGCCTATGGTGACGAGTTGTGGCTAGTGATCAAAAGAATGAGATCACAGATACAAGCAGTGGAAATTTCCTCAGGAGAGTGGCCGGGCTCAGCCTTAGCAATAGCAGCTCGGTCATTTTTGAGGAACTCAGAGTAGAGCTGCTACTCGTCCACACTGAAATAAGGCAGTTATGGTGGTTCAATATCTTACTGAGATGCTTCCTAGCCACAATCTACGTGAGGTTTTCCAGCCATCATAGTGGGACGAGTCATGGGGGCAGAGCCACAACATGCTGGGGAGATTACATTCCTCAGCTGGCTTAGGAAAGCCTTGATCTCCCCAGAAGAGCTAGAGGAGGTGGCTTGGGAGAATTATGTCTGACTGTTGCTCTTCCTACCTGGACCTGGATAAGTGTCAGAAAGTGCATAGATGGATGGAAGATATAAAACTGAGTGAAAAAGGTAGCTTTCCTCACTCTGAAAAGTGTAGACAATGCCGGTTACAAAGGCTGGTTACAGAAAAGGTGATGGGACAACTTCCTTTGGCTTCCCCAGTAAACACTTTCCTGATGAGTTTATGCTCCCAATCCCTAATGAGCATAGAGTATGCAAATCTACCAACAGAAAGGATACAATATTATCAGACAGTCAATTCTGATGTGTCTCATAGATGGTAACTACATACAAGGGCCTTATATTGACTATAACAAACAGTGTGTGGTTTTCCTGGAGCTTAATATGGTCCTCTGGCATTTATACAGTTCGTGTAGGAAATGCCTGTTTTTGCTTCTACAGTTCTTAGTCACCCAGTGTAGCAACTCAGCAGCAGCACAAGGGCAATCAGCTGCTACCTAGAAGTGATAGCATATCATTGAGAGCATCTCTGCTGTACTCACAGGTTTCTGGTGGAGGACTTGGTGTGCATGTGCTGGCCGTGGCAATTGATGCCAGCATCTGTGAACGGATTTGGAAGTTGACCGGAGTGCCTGTTAAAAAATAAAAGCTGAGGTTTAATGCATCACTGCTTTGTTTATCAGTTGCAGCAGGAACATTCCCCCTCTTTAATATCTGTTTCTTGTTATAACAGAGATGTAAAAAACTGCAGGAATCCAGAGGAAGCAGCACCATCCTGTCACTACTTTTGCTTTTGACACAAAAACACTCACATGAATCTGGAAATAAGGGGTTACCTGGTAAGGAATACACAGTATAGGGGTGCGGTGCCATATTCTGGATCCCTCCACAGCACTGAAGAGAAGTGCTTAATGGATACTGGAGTGTTTGTGTCCTAGTCATAGCCATCGATGGCAGGTTCTCTACCTTATTAGGCATTATCGTGGCAGGAACTCTTTGAAAAAGCCCATCTGGGATAGTAAAAAAGCCCATTACATATTAGCAGTTTGAGATGTCACAGGTTCAAATTATCTGCTCTAATTGTACTGAACTCATGTGATGGTAATGTTGTTTAGCTGGAGTGTGGTAGTGATTTGTAAACTGTGTGATCACGGCATGCTTACTGTTCTGTTTGCAGCTCTTTTGCTGGTCAACAGGCAGCTGATATTTCTCATCTGTCTTCATTTGATTCATTCTGAGAGGCACTGGTTCAATCGTAAATCACCTGTTTGTGCTAGTTCCTGGGGTAAACAGAAGAAGGTAACGTTACTCACATTAAGAAAATGAAATGAGAGTTGCATCTATGAGGAAACCATTGCCACATTGGCACCTCTTAGATGTACTTAGATTCTAGAGATATTGCACTTTAGTAAAATATGACGTGACGGTTTAGTCAAGCCCCCAGAAGAGATGACTCAACCAGTTCCTGGAGTTTATGAACCACTTCTCTATTTAGCCTCAGTGTTCAGCTTTGCATTATGCAAATCAGGGGTTTCAAGTATAGCGTGTGGTTTGCAGTAAGATATCCAGTACTGTGAAAATCAGGTCTTGAGCCACACCTCATTTCTTTGTATTTTTCGTGGAAAACAGGGAATGGCTGCAGTGATTTACTGAAACGTGTCTAAACATGCATGGAAATACGGTATATAAGCAAAATTAAAAAAGAAAAAAGTTATTTTCACGAACAGGCTTCTTAAAGGATATTCAAAGCTTGTCTTTTTATTTTTCTCTCTTTTTGTTCCCTTCCCTGTCAAGATGCTTCTTCCATAATGTCCAGGTCCAGCCTTTGGGGAGGCCAATCCATGACTGTTAGTGTTGCATTGTGTTTTTCAATCCAGGTATGCTTTTACTGTCACAGTCCAGTTATTATGTAATTTGGCAAACCTTTCTTATCTTAAGAATGGCTTTTTGACAGTCACCCTTCCACTTCTTCTTCTGTTTGCTATTTTGCAGTATCATTTTTTTAAAGACTGCAAGCATCATGCTGAGCTATGCTAAGCAATGCTAAATTTTCAGCTAATAGCTCTTTAGCTCTTTTCCAAAAATGCTATTTTATTCCTGTCAAGCTGTGTTATATCTGTATTTTGGATTTTGTTTTTTTCTCATAAATGGGACCAATTTACATGTTATTATACATGTTATAAATTACTGGAGTGCAAATAAAAAAGTGTCTAAATATCTAGTTTCAAATTGTTTTTTTTTTTTGCTGTTTTCACCTCTTCATCATTCATAGGTTAAAAAAAATCCTCTGAAAATTATCAGGTTAATTATCAGACTAAATTGAAAATGAATTCAAAAAGCAACCAAAGAAACACTTTGAAAGACCCCTATTGGAAGTAAAATATAAAGAAAAGAGGGATACCTAAAGACTTTTGCACTGCCCTGTAAGTAACATATGCCAGATTTTGGTTAACAAAAATGGAACAAAAAGTGGACGACAGACACTGGCTCAGTTGAGATTTTGTTTCATATCAATAACCTTTTGCTCCGATCAGCTGCCACATATTTGGTAACCAATGTAAAAAGATGTTAAATGGTCATGTAAAAAACAATATCATGTTGGTCAAGCGTCCTGGCAACTAACTGATGTTTTAGCACATGTAAAGCATTTAGCTAGAACTAGAACTTGTTAGTAAACAAATATACTGTGCCGACATTGTACGGCCTGTATGTACACAATGCTGTATTTGTGTGAATGAGTCTTAAAAGAAACTCTTACCTTAGTAGATGATGATGATTAACTGACGGAGTTATTTTATTTATTTATTTTTGGCGTGTGTGTGTATCGGTGAGCCCGTTAGGCAGTGTGTTTTTTCTCTTGCCCATTCTGATTGGTTGATTGGCTCAGTACGAACTGAAATTGTTATTATTCGAATACTGAGCTGTTAGTATCGTAAACCTATCAAGTGCAAGAGAACGCCATTTTCAAACAGTTTACAAGTTTTATTTGATTAATTTTCTTCCACAATTATCAGGTTTGTGTCGGCTTTTACTGTGAGAATTGATTGATTGATCATACTTTATTCATCTCGAGGGAAATTGGAGCTTGGCTCTTGAGCTGCCTGGTAAAGATGCTGCATATTTGTGAGACCTAAGGTAAACAAACAAACAAACAAAAAAACACGTTTTCTAATACCAAAACATTTCCGATGATAACCCAGAGAATATGAAGAATATGACATTTTTGATGGTCAATCCCTAAGCAGTCGCCGTAGTTTGGGCGATACCATTTTAAATGGGTGTTCTCGTGATGTTGATTTAAGGGGTTTATTTTTATTACAAACAGATTTGGAATAAATTATTTAAAATATTAAACTATTATTCAATACAAGTAACCACAGGGAATGGTAACAGTATATTTTATGACTATTACCCATCTTGATAATACATCGGCATCTAACAAAATGGTATAATCCAAGAGGTAGGGAAGACCTGTAAGTGAGACAAATCAAGCCTGTGACAGCGGAGAAATCGGAGTTTTATAACAAGTAATTACTGTACAGAGGTAAGTACTATCCAGGAGTCCTCGCTCGACCTTAGTGAACTGTTTTGTTTAACAGCAGCACCGTGTTCTGCCGAGCTGTCAGTGTAAATGTGGGAAAATTGTGAAGAAGATGACAGTTTTGCTAGCGATAGCTGAGCTACTGTTAGCTTGCTGCTAGCCGACTGCTAGCTGATTCACCAAAACTGTGCGGACTTGAGCAGGAAGAAGTTAGCTTGCTAGAAGCTAGTTAGCCTTTTAGCTCGCCATCCTATTTTGGGATTGGCATTCCGCTAGCTAGTAACCTTAACTTAGCTACGTTAAGCGCGACTACGAGAGGAATGTGTATTAATAACGCTTCGTTTTGTATGTCGGACATCTGTAAATGTGAAGTGGCTGATGATGTAGTAGTGTTTTCTGTGACGTGAAATTAAGTGATATGAATGACAAGAAATAACACTGGGCCCAGTTTCACCTTCTGGTCATGTAATCTGTGATGGTACCGGCGCACACCCTAGAAGCTGGTACTAATATTGCTAGGTAACGTGCTTAAGGATGTCTGCTACGTGATGCTGACACCAGTGCGTACCAAGTTTGACCGCTAATAATGACACAGTGAACTTGTCTATTCTGTTGATTTCATCTGTTGCTGCCAAACTGATCTGAGCAGGCTGATGGTGTTGCACTCATTTCTGTTTGTCTACATATAAATTTTGCCCTAAGAGTAATGCTGTTTTCGTATTTGTATTATGGTTCATGTGAAAGTAAAAATAAACAGTCGAGAGAATACACCTTGCCATGATTTCTTTTATGTTGCCATTGCTACTGAGGCTGAGTTGACTGTTACTGTCATATACAAAGCAAAGTACACAGTTGCATCATTAATGAAGAAACGAAAGCCAGGAACTAAGCCCCTTATTTCTTCCTTTTTAAAATCTCTTTGCACACTCCTCTTTTCATGTGCTTTTTTCTGTCGTTCTCTTAGGCTAAAAGAGAAACTGTACAATGTCCTTAAAGCCACGGATGGTAAATTTTGACGAGACATGGAACAAGTTATTGACAACAATCAAGGCTGTGGTGATGCTCGACTATGTGGAAAGAGCCACATGGAATGATAGGTTCTCGTATCCTTTATCAAATCAAATCAAATCAATTTTATTGTCACATCACATGTGCAGGTACACTGATACAGTACATGTGAGTGAAATTCTTGTGTGCGAGCTTCACAAGCAACAGAGTTGTGCAAAAATACAATAACGTAAAACAAGCAAAATATAAGAATGGCTAAATCTGAGACTAATCTGAGACTTTACCAGCTCGCTTCATGTTTAACCAATTTAGCCTGCAACATGAGTTGTTTTTTTTTTAAGTTTCAGCACTGGGTTTGAGTGTAAATACAGATTTGCCAAAGCATTGTTGTCATTGTAAAATACATTTGTGTTTATTCATTTTTAATAGCAAATGTGTGTATATTTACATCCCTCACATTCTTCCTGAACATTGTCACCAGTGACATCTATGCCCTGTGTGTTGCATACCCAGAGCCTTTAGGTGAAAAGTTATACACAGAGACCAAAATCTTTCTTGAGAACCATGTTCGTCAGTTGTACAAGGTAAGCAAAAGTTCTTCTGTGCTTTTTCTTTGCTTATCACATCGCATTTCCTCTAAAGCTGCCACGCTTATGTGTGTATTTCAGAAAGTTCTGGAATCAGAGGAGAAGGTTTTAGTGATGTACCACAGATACTGGGATGAGTACAGTAAAGGAGCCGACTACATGGACTGCTTGTACAGGTAACATTTCTGCTTTTTTGTGTGTCTGTAATTTCAGTTTCGATTTGATATCAGTGAGTCACAGAGTTGATTTACACAATTTACTCCAGCCTTTTTTTCTTTTTATCTATAAACAAAATGTTTGTATAGCCTCTGTTGTTTGAGGTTGCCAGATTCAAACCATAAACATGTCTGTAGTCGGTGTTTCACATTCACTTTTAACTGAAGGCATGAGTTCACCCGGGCTTCTGTGTTTGTCAAGTCCACTTGTTTGTTTAGCGTTCCTTAATGCAAAGTGTACTAATTCTGTTCTTTTACAAGGCTCAGTATTCCTGCCTTTAGTTTGTCCCTTAAAATATTACTTTGAATGTCGTTGTGTGAGGTGCCAAGAGGCTTTCGGTGTGTCTTTATTCACTCTAAATCAATATTCCCTTGTAGAGCTCTTAGATCTATTTTTATGCGTGCTACCCACCAGACTCCCTGTGCATACATATGCTTTTGTAATTTATGTCGGTCCAAGCAAGAGAGAAGAAAGTAAGGCGCTTGGCTTTAGTAGTGAATTTCTTCAGTTGTTCATGTGGCTCTCGAAGAGAGATGCTTATTATTCTTAACACATCAATTTGTGAAATACATGTGTAGTTGCGTTCAGTTTGGACTGAATCAGAACAGACTTTGTTAACTTGTAAGTTTAGCTTGCTGGATTGAGCAGGCGACTGATGAGCTGTAAGACTGCTGCAGAGTTCTGGGTTCAAATCCACCTCGGGCCATTTGCTGTGCGTCTTCTCATCCTCTCTCTCTTTCTCAGCTTTCCTGGCAATTCTCAACTATCCTGTTATAATCAAAGGAACAAAAAATGCCCCAAAATATATATAAAAAAAGAACAACAACAGCAATAATGACTATTTTATTTCTACAGTTCTGCTCTCCAGCAGTTACTGGTACTCAACACTAGCTGATATATTGGCAGGTTGACTTACAGTCAGAGTGAATGAGAGAAATCAAGCTGAATGTCACAGGCAGGCTGCACAGCTGTGAAATATAATATAATAGCTGTGCGCTATTTAAGGTGGACTAAATTAGCCATCATGGATTAGAGCTTGAAAGCAGTTGTCAGTTTGCCTGGAAGTTGTCCTGCTGTGCTAACTCAGTTTTTGCTTTGTTTGTCAAATACTAAGGATTCATTCATTTGTACGCAACTCAGGCTACAATCCTCCTTCCTCCCATTCAGCTTCCTGACTGACTTGTGGCTTCACTAGTGCTGCAACGTTAAGAAAAGTTCAGCACTTCAAGTGCTTGTGGCCAGCTAGTCAAATCATTTTGAGTAATGAAAGAGTGTTGTAGCTGCTTGTCCAGCTTATCGATTTACATCAAAATTAATAATAAATGAACATTATGGTGAGTAATTTCCCTGAAGCAGCGTATACATATGAATCCTCCCTAATAGCAAATGCATTCAGAATTTGATTATCTGTCATATAAATTAGTTGTACTACAAACTGAGACATCCTTGTAGCAGTGTTTGGTACTACTTGGTAAATAAATAAAACTTTTCCACTGATGTAAGTGTTAACTCTGGACTATTACTGACTCATTTACTGTTATCTTGTTCTTCTCATAGACATTACAGAACACAAGGGCAAACTCATTTTTGCTCAGTACTCAAATGTATCTGTTATAAACTGCTACCAGTAAGAGTAGATGATACAGTTGGGTAATGAAAATGTGAATAGGCACATTAAAAAGACCAACACTTTGTTAATATTTTAACATTCCCCCAAAACAATTTTGAACAAATTGTGGAAAAATTCAAAAACTTTTGACTACACAAAGTACTATTGCTGCTTTGATTGTAGTTTAATTACTTAATCTACAGTTTTTCAGTTCTTTTCTTTGGGTTTTTTTTTTTGTGTTTTTCAGTCAGAGCAAATTGGCTGAACAAGTAAATGAAGCTCAGCTTCAGTGTCTGAAATGTAAAGGGCAGTGGACACTGCCAGAGGATCTGGATTTCTTAAACTTCATCACTGTGAATGTTGGTTAACAGATCCAAAGATAAACAAATCTTTCTGAGCATATCCTGTTATGTGAGACCACCAAGCATTATTAATGTGTTTGACTAGTGTTGATAACCTTTTTAAAATCATTTTCTTGTCATTATTTTCGTAAATAATAAATAATGAAAGTGCAACTAGACTAAAAAAAGCTTTTACAAAATATAATGGGAGCATTGATTACTGTCTGGATATTGTGTTTCACTCATTAATTTTGAGATAAATAACCACAGAGTGAGCAACCAAGAGGTTAACCAAACAATACCAGTAACACACAGCGTCTATGAGTGAATGAAAACAGGATGCATTTGTCAGCAGCATTTTAGTGTTTCTTCAGAAAACATGAGGCCTGTGTTTATTCCTCCTTCCAATCTTTGCGATGCTTTAAACATCTTGAATATCTCCCCACATTGTTCAGGTACCTCAACACTCAGTTCATCAAGAAGAACAAACTAACAGAAGCTGACCTGCAGTATGGCTACGGGGGAGTGGACATGAATGAGCCGCTTATGGAGATCGGAGAGGTACTAAGCATTGGCATAAAAACC